AAAAAAACAAGACTGAACTATATGTTGACTACAAGAAGCCCACTTTAGGATTGCCTTGCTGGCTCGGTCACTGGAGCTTGTGACTTTTGATCTTGGGGTTGTGCGTTTGAGCCCCATGTTGGGTGTAGAGATTACTTAAAAAAAATAAAATCTTAAAAAAAACATTTTAGATATAAAGATACTTGTAGATTAAAAGTAAATGATCAGAGAAAGATCTATCATGCCAACACTAATCAAAAGAAAGCAAGAGTAGCTGTATTTATTTTAGAGAACAGACGTCAAACCAAGGAAAGTTATCAGGGATACAGAGGGACATTACATAATGATAAAACGGTCAGTTCCCCAGAAAGACATAACAGTTTCTAACATGTATGTGTCTGACAACAGAACATCAAACTACATGAGGCAAAAACTGATAGAAGTGCAAGGAGAAATAGATGACTTCACTATTATATTTGGAGACTTCAGCACCTCCTAGAAATGGACGGAAAACCAGTAAAGACATAGATGAACTCAATAACACCATCAGTCAATTGAATATAGTGGATATCCGTAGGCTACTTCAACAACAGCAGAATACATGTTCTTCTCAGTTCATGTGGAACTTTCACCAAAATAGACATTTTCATAATCTATTAGATTTCCTGCCTATTCTTCTAAGGGCCCGTTTATCTTTCCTGTAAATATCCTTTCTCCATTCTGTGAATTTTCTTTTCACTTTCTTGATAGTGCCTTTTTTTTTTTTTTAAGTTTATTTTTATTTTTTTGAGGGAGAGAGACAGCAGGGGCGGGGGGTGGGAGGGAGAGAGAGAATCCCAAGCAGACTCCACACTGTCAGCACGGAGCCTGACACAGGGCTCAGTCCTGCGTACCTTGAGATTGTGACCAGAGAGAAATCAAGAGTCGGACACTCAACTGACTGAGCCACCCGGGTGTCCCTTGATAGTGCTCTTTGATACACAAAAGTGTTAAATTTTGGTGAAGTCCAATTATTTATTAGTTGTTGTTAGGTTTTTGGTGTCATGTATAAGAATCTATTGCCAAATCGATGATCATGAAAATTTACTTCTCTAAGTAGGGGAGGAAGAAGTTTTCTTCAACCCTCTGAAAGTCCATGGATGGATCTGAAAAAAACGACAAAGGCAGCATAACAGGAGAAAAGCACACAAATTTTACTGAATTTTTATGTGTACATGGCAGCCTTCTACAAGACAACCCAAAGAAATGACCAGAACAAGAAACTTTTATACCTTTTAGGCAAAAACATGTAAATATGTGAAGAATTGATGAAGGGATTTGGGCTAGAGGTGGTAATTTGTGAAGAAATAATTTGAAAATAAGAATTAGTTTAACAGGGGCACCTGGGTGGTTCAGTCTGTTGAGCATCTGACTTTAGCTCAGGTCATGATCTCAAGGTTCATGAGTTTGAGTCCCACATCAGGCTCACTGTTGTCAGTGCAGAGCCCCCTTCAGATCCTCTGTTCCCCCCACACACCCTTCCCCCACTCACGTTCTCTCTCTCTCTCTCTGTCTCTCTCTCAGAAATGAAATAAACATTAAAAAAATTAGTTTAACAAGGTTTGTTTATATGCCTTCTCAGCCCTAAATACCCTGTCTCTGGTGATAAGGGCATCTCCTTTTCTTCTGATACCTTTCATACAGGAGATTTATCTCCTTTCAGGGAAGAAGGGAGAGAGTAGGAGGTCAAAGTGACCTTCCTGCTTCTGTTTGACCTTCCTGCTTCTGCTTCCTGCTTCTGCTTTCTCAAACTTCAACTTAAGGTATTCAGTATGCCAAGGTGCCAAATTTGGGGGTAGCATGCCTGAAATACAGGTTGATCTATAAATATACATCAGACCAGTTAATGCCATGCAACACGTAATAGAAGATACAAAAAGGGGAAATAGGGGCCCCTGGCTGGCTCAGTTGGTGGAGCATGTGACTTTTAACCTTGGGGTCATGAGTTTGAGCCCCATGTTGGATGTAGAGATTACTTATTTATTTTTCATTTTTATTTATTTTGAGAGAGAGAGCGAGCACACACGCAAGCGGTAGAGAAGCAAGAGAGAGAGGGAGAGCAAGAATCTCAAGCAGACTCTGCACTGTCAGCACAGAGTCCAATGCAGGGCTCCACCTGGCAAATGTGAGATCATGACCTG